AAGAGCTGGAGGCGGAGCTGCAGCAGCTGCAGAGGGACATCGCCAAGTCAAACGCTGACCTGGAGGCGATTCACCCGCAGCACCAGCAGCACGTGGCAGAGGAGAATGCGCTGAACAAGAGGTGGGCCCCCCTCCTTACCTTTACCTGAACAAAAGGGGCGCGGGCGGGAGTAGTGTGGTGGCTGGGGGCATGGTGGTAGGTATGTGTCAGGTGACTGCTGACTGTGAGAATCAATTGCTGGTGGATATTCAGCTAATGTTTCTTCCTTGCTTGCAGGCTGGCAGAGTGTTCGCGCCGACTGGACGCACTGTATGAGAGGAAGGGGCAGAAGGCGCAGTTCAAGAGCAAGGACGAGCGCGACCGGTGGCTCAGGCGCGGCATTGCAGAGCTGGAGCAGCTGGTGCAGCGCAGTGCAGCACAGGTGGGTGGGTGGATGGGTGGATGGGTGGGAGGGAGGGAGGAGGAGGAAAGGGAAGTTTGTATCAGATGTGGCTTGCAAAGTGCAGTATTGCTTGATGCGTTTACAGCAAGAAGAGCTGGAGCAGCTGGTGCAGCTAGTGCAGTTGGTGTAGCTGACTGTGTTGCGTAGCATGTACCACCATGATTTCCTTCTTCTATTGATGGTCCCGCCACACGGTTGCACTCCCATGCTGTCCCAATTCAACAGCCAACCCTATCCTTCCCTTATCTCACTGCCGCGCCCTTCTGTTCTATGCTGTGAGCCGCCTTGCAGTTGAGGGGTCTGGAGGCGGAGAGTGAGAGGCTGAGGCAGGCGGGGCAGCAGCTACAGGAGGAGATGGAGCAGAAGGGACAGCAGGTGGGGGAGGCAGAGGCGGAGGTAGCACGATGTGCAGAGGAGATGCGAGGGGCCAAGGCACGGAGGGACGAGCAAAACAGCCGCCGCAAGTAGGTGCTCTGGCTCTGGGCTGAGGAGGCATGGGTCAACCTTTGACGCGTATAGGAGTGAGATTGCGGTGATTTTTTTATAGAGCATTTTCTCCTCCCATGCAACGCATCATTCTCTTCGCCCATCGACCCCCTCCTTCCCGTTCCGCTCTTTAATTATTTTGTTCTACTGTTTTAACCTCATTCCCCCTCCTTCGCCTGTTCGTCTCTGTTTATTTCATTCCTAACGAAATTAACCTTATTTTCTGCCTGCTCTCTGTATTCTATCTCCCTGCTCTTGGTCTGCTCTCTCCCCATCCTCTGTCTGCGCTCTCTGTCTGTTCTCTCTCTGCTCTCTCTCTGCTCCCTCCCTGCTCTCACTCTGCTCTCTCTCTGCTTGCCCTTCCCCTCTCTCCAGGCAGCTGATGAAGCAGGAAGCGGACCTGGCAGCAGAGGTGAAGCGAGTGAGCGAGGAGAAGGATCGAGCGGAGGGGCAGCTGGACAAGTCAACCCCCAGGGTACGTTGTGGTGCGGTGTGGTGCAGTGTGGTGCTGTCTGGTGCAGGGTGTGCACCGTGCAGTATGTTTGGTGTAAGGAGACGGGCATGGTGTTGTTGCGAGTCTTTTGTTGCTTCGATGACCTCCCTCTTGCTGTCATCTCGCTCGCTCGCTCACACTGTTTCGGACCTCTTTCCGTGTGTTGCGCTGTCTCGCATAGTGTGTCTCTTGCTGCTGCTCTGGATCCTGTCTTACCCGACGTGGGCTCTTCTCGCTGCGCCAGATAGTGAGAGACCATTCCATCCGGGGGGTGCACGGGCCGCTGCTGGAGCTCGTAGCCTGCGACGACAAGTTCGTCACTGCGCTTGAAATCACCGCAGGAAACAGTCTCTTCAACTCACTCTCCCTTCCTCCCCTGTGCTCCCTTCCTCTCCTCTCCCCCCGCCCCGCATTCTGCTTCTTCCCCTCCTCCCCGTCCCCGCCCCCTTCCCCCTTCCCCGCCCCCATCCCCATCCCCTTCCCCGCATCTGCCCCCCCCCACCCCTCAGGACATCCGCCGCGGGCTCTTCTCGCTGCGCCAGATAGTGAGGGACCATTCCATCCGGGGGGTGCACGGGCCGCTGCTGGAGCTCGTAGCCTGCGACGACAAGTTCGTCACTGCGGTCGAAGTCACCGCAGGCAACAGCCTGTTCAATGTCGTGGTGGATAATGACGAGACTGCCGCCCGGCTCGTGCGGTACTTGAACCAGCAGAGGGGCGGGCGGATCACGTTTATTCCGCTGAACCAGGCACGTGCGCCGACGGTGGCGTGTCCGGAGAGGCAGGACGTGGTGCCACTGCTGTCCAAGGTCAAGTACGAGCCGCAGATCGCTGCTGCTTGCGGACAGGTAAGCGATGGGGGTGGGGGGAGGGCGAGGGAGAAGGGAACAGAGGAAAGGCAGGGAGGGAAAGGGGGAAGGGTAGGTAAGGGAGGGAGGGGGGGGATGGGAGGGAGGAGGTGGGTAGGTAACAGGCGGACGGATCACATTCCGCTGAATCAGGCGCGTGCACCGACGGTGGCGTATCCGGAGCGGCAGGACGTGGTGCCGCTGCTGTCCAAGGTCAAGTACGAGCCGCAGATCGCTGCTGCTTGCGGACAGGTGAGAGATGGGGTTGGGGGGAGGGCGAGGGAGAAGGGAACAGAGGAAAGGCAGGGAGGGCAAGGGGGAAGGGTAGGGAAGGGAGGGAGGGGGTGGATGGGAGGGAGGAGGTGGGTAGGTAACAGGCGGACGGATCACATTCCGCTGAACCAGGCGCGGGCGCCGACGGTGGCGTATCCGGAGAGGCAGGACGTGGTGCCGCTGCTGTCCAAGGTCAAGTACGAGCCGCAGATCGCTGCTGCTTGCGGGCAGGTGAGCAATGGTGGGAGGGGGACGGAAGAGAAGGGAAGGGGGAGGTCGAGGGGGAAGAAGGCAGGGAGGGCAAGGGGCAAGGGTAGGGAAGGGGAGAGAGGATTGGGAGAGCAGTGGGAGTTGGGCGAGGAAGGGTTCTCTGGGTTGTTAATGGTTTGTTTCTTGAGAAACCAGGGAGATGCTTATTGTTTCTTATTTCCTTCTGGGTGCATGTGTGTGTGTGTGTGCGTGCGTGCGTGCGTGTGTGTGTGTGTGTGTGTGTGCCTGAGAATGTGTACAGGTATTTGGCCGCGCTGTGGTCTGCCGCGACCTGTCAGTGGCAGCTGACGTGGCACGCTCTGGAAGCTTCGACTGCATCACACTGGAAGGTGAGGCCCGTCTCCCCCCGTTCTGCCAACGCAGTGCAAGGGCCATAGGGTTTCAGGAGCAATTAGGGCTCCTTCACGCTTGTCCCTGACAACCCCCACTCCCCCCCCCCCTCTCCACAAAGCCCCCCCGACTTGCCCGCTTCCATACTTGATTTTCTGTTGCGCTCAGTCTACCCGCTTTGTAGACTAGTTCGCACTGCTGGTCCGTCTCATTGTGCAAGCTCGTGTGTGGCCTTGTCCGTTCAAACCACATCCCTCACTCGCTCGCGCACACTCACACTCACACTCACTCACTCGCTCACTTGTTCACTCGCCCAGTCAAACCACGTTTTAAACCCTGATATCTTCTTCTCACCCCACTCACTGACTGGTCCGCAGGGTCGCAGGTGGAGCGCAAGGGCGCCATGACAGGGGGCCACTACGACCCGCGGCGGTCGCGGCTGCGGCTGATGCAGACAGTGAGGGAGAGCAACCAGCGTGTGAGGGAGTTGCAGCCGGAGCTGCGGCAGGTCAAGGCCTCCATGCAAGATATCCTCTCAATGGCTTCTTAAAGCCCTTCCTGCCCTTCTGGGATTCTTGGAATACACCCGTTCCCGTTCCCGTTCCCGTTCCCGTTCCCGTTCCCGTTCCCGTTCCCGTTCCCGTTCCCGTTCCCGTTCCCGTTCCCGTTCCCGTTCCCGTTCCCGTTCCCGTTCCCGTTCCCGTTCCCGTTCCCGTTCCCGTTCCCGTTCCCGTTCCCGTTCCCGTTCCCGTTCCCGTTCCCGTTCCCGTTCCCGTTCCCGTTCCCGTTCCCGTTCCCGTTCCCGTTCCCGTTCCCGTTCCCGTTCCCGTTCCCGTTCCCGTTCCCGTTCCCGTTCCCGCTCCCGTTCCCCAGTCCCCCTTCTCCCTCCTCAACCTGTCGTCCTCTTTCACTTGTTTTTTTTTTTGTTTTTGTTTTTTGTCTAAGGTGGCTCGTTCTGTTGCTGCTTTACTTGCTTGTGTGTGGTTCTTGAACTTGTTGGAACCAAGTACTCCTTGACCTGCAGGGCCTCCTATTCTCTTCCCCTCCATCCCTCTTCTCTTTCTTGCACTGTCTATCTCCCCGCCTTCTCCCACCTTCTCCACTTTCTCGCTCCCCCCTCCCCTTCCCCACCCCCGCTCCGCGCCCCCTCCTCTCCCTTCTCCCTTCCCTCTCCCTCTCCTCCCCTGTTCCCCGTTACTCCATCCCAACCGCAATCTTCTATAACCCTGCTGATCAACACAAGCGGACCAGGCAGTGGCAGTGGCGCTGGGGGATCTAGAGCGGTTGGAGGCGAAGCAGAGGCACCTGGCGTCGCTGCTGGAGCAGACGCGTGCGGACATGCGAGGGCTCAAGGGGCAGCTAGCTGCCAACCAGGCCGCGTGCGAGCAGAAGGTGTGTGGGTGGGCGTAGTGAGTGAGGGGGGTTGCGCAGGGAGGAGGGTGCGCCAACGGGAGGTAGAATGCACCTGGCGTCGCTGCTGGAGCAGACGCGCGCGGATATGCGAGGGCTCAAGGGTCAACTCGCTGCTAACCAGGCTGCATGCGAGCAGAAGGTGGGTGGGCGTTCTGGGTGAAGGGGGGGTGGGGTGGTGGGCTGCAGGGCGAGGGGGAGGAGAATGCTAAGTAATTGTTTAGAGGCAAAGCAGAAGCACCTGTTGTTCCCTCTTCCCCCCTTCCCCCTTTCCCGTCTTCCCCCTTTCCCCCCTTCCCCCTTCCCCCTTTTCCCTTGTCCCCCCTCCCACTTTCCCCTTGTCCCCCCTTCCTCCTTTCCCCATTTTCCCATCCAATTTCTTCCGACTCACGCCAACAATGCTACTATTTTACCTTTCCACCGCTCCCCCTGCCATGCATCCGCCAGGAGGAGGCGGTGGGGAAGCTGAGGGCGAGTGTGGAGGAGCAGCAGGCAGCGGCGGAGGCGAAGCGGGGGGAGATTGGCACGGCGCTCGTGGCAGGGCTGAGCGCGGGCGAGCAGGCCGAGGTGGAGGCGCTGGTGCCGGAGATTGACAGCGTTAAGCAGCAGCTGCTGGCGTGCAAGCGCACCCGCCTGGAGGTGAGGGAAGGGGATTGGGAGTCAGGGTTCAGGGTTTGGGGTTTTAAGGTGACAGCGTGTTGGCAGGAGGGAGAGGCGGGGGAAAATAGTCGGGGATGATTAGTTGGAGGGTGGAGGAAAATGGGAGGTCTGGTATTGGAGCGTGAGAGGATGCAGGTGCGGGAAAAGGGCTGAGTGCGGGCGAGCAGGCAGAGGTGGAGGCGATGGTGCCGGAGATTGACAGCGTGAAGCAGCAGCTGCTGGCGTGCAAGCGCACCGGCCTGGAGATGAGGGAGAGGCGGTTGGCAGTGGGGGTGTAGGGTTGGGAGTTTATAAGGGCAGGGGCTTTGGCAGGATGAGGTGCAGGCGGAGGTGGACGTGGTGCATGTCGCGTCCCGGCGCAGCGAGCTGGAGGGATGGGCTGTAGTCGGCTCTCCTCAACCCATCCATCACCCCTTGTCCCCCGTCATAAACCTCCTCGTCTCCGCTCTCCTTTGCCCCTCCTCACGCCAACACCTCGCCTCTTTTGCCCACAGGTGGAGAGTCGCATGAGCCAGCTGGAAACTGCTTTAACAGAGAACTTGCTGAGGCGGCAGGACGAGGTGCAGGCGGAGGTGGACGTGGTGTATGTGGCGTCCCGGCGCAGCGAGCTGGAGGGGCGCCGGGCAGAGGCGGCTGCTGCTGATAATGTGCTGCAGGAGCTGGTGCAGGAGCACAAGCGTGAGTCGTTTGATCGGGTGTTGTGACATGACAACTCAAGCATTAAATCTTGCAATGTCCGGTCAGATCTGAGGCGTCTCAAAGGTCAAAGGCGGCCGCTGCTGATAATGCGCTGCAGGAGCTGGTGCAGGAGCACAATCGGTCGAGGTGGCTGCTGCTCACACGGTCGAGAGCTTTAATGAGGAAATGTCTGCGTTTTCGGGGGGTGAACTTGGCAGCTGTTCGCGTGCGGCATTGCACCCGACTGAGCTGTGCGCTGTGTGTGCTGTGTGTGCTGTGCGCTTTGTGTGCCTTGTGTGAAGTGCTGCAAGGGAGAGTGAAGAGAGAGTGCCTTGATTCAAATCGGTAGACTAACTCATTTCTCTCTGCCATCTGATCCCCATCGTCCCCTGGGCTTGTGCCTGCCTCTGCCTCTCCGCTCGTCCTGCTGGTACTACCAGGTGTGGGGAGCCGTATGGAGCAGCTAATGAAAGAGATCAGGGAGCTGAAAGCGAACAAGGACAAGCTCAAGGTGAGAGATACCACATCTTGCGCTGCAATGCGTAACTATCACAGCACAGATGAAACAGATTTTCTTAGAGGGTTTAGGGCGCTCAGGGTTTAAGGGTTTGAAGAGCTCGCACCTGGTTGTAATAATGTGCCCAGGCGTCCAATCAGTATATGGATGGACCACTTTAGAAATGGGGGAGAAGGGGGGTTTTACAGCTCATTTTGTAAATCGTGACTATAATTCCTTGGACCTACCCTTTCCCATTGTCCCCGCTCCCCTGTTCCCGGTTCGTGGTTTTGAGTTTCTCTGCTGCTTCCCCTGCCTACCTGGCCTTCCTTCCTGCTTCCCCTGCTCCCTGCTGCCGTCACCACCGTCGTCCCCATTCGCCTCCTCCGTCTGCTGTTTGCTGCTGCTCCTCCGGCAGCAACAAGAGGAGGAGTGGGAGCGGGCAGTGCAGGACGAGGGCAAGGCGTTGGAGCAGCTGCTGAACCAGCGCAGCGTGTGGCAGCACAAGCGTGACGAGGCGAGCAAGAAGATCAGGGACCTCGGCTCGCTGCCTGCTGATGCCTTTGACAAGTGAGTGACTGGTGCTGCTGCTGCGCTTGTGTGCGTTGGGCGAATGAGGGATTGCTTGCCCCCCCACCATATCCGCTTCGGAAGGTGCTCAACTCTGAAGAAGATTAAAGACCTCGGCTCACTGCCTGCTGACGCCTTTGACAAGTGAGTGGCCGTTGCTGGTGTTTTTGTGTGCATCAGAGGAGCAAAGGATCGATCCTTGCCTCACAGAAGCAGAGTGCATGCGCGAGATGCACCGCTTGTGGAAGCAACCCATACTAGTGGTGAAGCCCCCCAACCCCTGCCCGCTTCACTTGCACTCTCACCCAATTCTGCAATTATCATACTGGTGATTGTTGCCTGTCTTCTCCCCGATTCTCTTCCCCCTGGCCCCCTCCTTCGACCCCCCGCAGGTACCAGAAGCAGAGTACGCGCGAATTGCACTGGCTGCTGCAGCAAACTGTAGTGGTTAATCTTCCCGCTTCACTTGCACATTCTCCCTGTCGTTTCCCCTTTCCCCCCATCCCCCTTCCCCCCCGCAGGTACCAGAAGCAGAGTATGCACGAGCTGCACCGGTTGCTGTACCACACTGTAGTGGTGAACTTTCCCGCTTCACTTGCACATTCTCCCTGTCGTTTCCCCCTCCCACCCGCCCCCGCAGGTACCAGAAGCGGAGTATGCTTGAGCTGCACCAATGTAATGAGGAGATTTAAGGCTTTGGGCACATGAATCGCAACACGCTGGACCAGTTGATGCACCTGTGCAGTCAAACCCCCTTCCCTCTCACATCAGCCCCCGTCCCTCCTTCGTGTGTGTGTACCTCCCTTGCTCCCCCGCCTCGTTCCCCTTCTCCCCCCTTCTTGTTCCCCCCCCCTTGTTTCCCCACCACAGGTACCAGAAGCAGAGTATGCGCGAGCTGCACCGGCTGCTGCACCGGTGCAACGAGGAGGTGCAGGGCTTTGGACACGTGAACCGCAAGGCGCTGGACCAGTACGTGAACTTCACGGAACAGCGCGAGGAGATGCACCGCCGGCAGCTGGAGCTGGATAGGAGCGATGAGGTGCGGGGGAAGGGGGGGGAGACGGGAACTGGGGAGGGGTAGAGGTGGTGCGGAAGCGGGGCAGAGGAGCATAGGTGCAGGGAGGGAAAACCAAATGCATGGGCGTGGTTGGAGGGTGCTTGAAGTGCTTGAGGGAGGGGTTAAGGGATGAGGTGTGTGGGGGAGGAGAAGGGCGAATGGGGGCAAAGGTGCAGGGAGACTGATTGTGGAGGAAGGGTGTTGAGTGAATCTTGCAACCTAGAAATTGTAAGAAAGCAAGGGAAGTTCTTAGTTGCTTCCTCCTTTTCGCGGCTCATGCATTCCTGTGGAGGCTTGCAGTTCCACCTCTCGTCACCTCTCCCCACCTCTGCCATCCCCCATTCCTCTGCTCCTCGCTTCCCATTGGCTCCCTTTCCTCACTTCCCTCCTCTCTCCCGTCCTGCTTCCCTCATCCCCCCTTTTGGCTCCCCTGTCCTTCTCCCTCTTCCCCTTCCTCCTCCCCCATCCTCACATCCCCCTCGAGCAGAATATCAAGGAGCTGATTGGATATCAAGGAGCAGAATATCAAGGAGACTCTGGAGAGAACGTTTGAGCAATCTCACCCCTCTGCACCTCTTTCAACCTCGCTCCCTCTCTCTCACACCTCTTTCCTCGCTTCGTCCCTCCACCCCCCCCTCCCACCGGAGCAGAAGATCAAGGAGCTGATAGGCGTGTTGGATCAGCGCAAGGACGAGGCCTTGAAGCGCGCCTTCAAGCAGGTCTCTGCTCCTCGCTTCCCGTTGGCTCCTGTTCCTCACTTCCCTCCTCTCTCTGGTTTCCCCATCCCCTTTCCTGGCTCGCCCTTTTCCCTCTCCCCCCCCTCCCCCCCTCCTCCCCCCCCGAGCAGAAGATCAAGGAGCTGATAGGCGTGTTGGATCAGCGCAAGGACGAGGCCTTGGAGCGCACCTTCAAGCAGGTGGCGCGTAACTTCCGAGAGACCTTCGGCACCTCCAGAAAGACTTGTGGTTTCACCCCTCTCCACCTCTCTCCACCTCTCCCTTTGCTCCTCGCTTCCCCCTCTCTCCCTTTCCTTGCGGCCTCCCCTCTCCCTCTCCTCGTTCTGCCCCCTCTCTCCCCAAGCAGAAGATCAAGGAGCTGATTGGGGTGTTGGATCAGCGCAAGGACGAGGCCTTAGAGCGCACCTTCAAGCAGGTGGCGCGTAACTTCCGAGAGACCTTCGCGCAGCTCGTGCGCAGCGGGCACGGGTCCCTGGTGATGGTGCGCAAGAGGAAGGAGGACGAGGCGGTGGATGAGGATGAGGACGATGAGGAGGGCGGTGGCGGGGGAAGGGATGGCGAAGCGGACAGCCGGCTGGATAAATACGCGGGAGTCAGGGTCAAGGTGTGTGTGGGCCTTTTTCCCCTGCCTCTCGCCTCCTCCCCTCTTCTTTCGCCTCCTACCCTCCTCCCCTACTCCTCATCCCTTCTCTCCACTTTGAGTTGTGGGTGGTGGTTGGGGATTCCTCGCAAAGAGCGCCCAGCTGGTGATGGTGCGCAAGAGGAAGGAGGACGAGGCGGCGGACGTGGATGAGGATGAGGATGAGGATGAGGATGAGGATGAGGGCGGTGAAGGGGGAAGGGATGGAGATGCGGATAATCGGCTGGGTAATTACGTGAGAGTGAGGGTCAAGGTGGGTGCACGATCCTCCCTTCTCGCCTCTGCCCTGCTCTCCCCTCCCTCCTCCCCTCCTCCTCCCCCACCTCCTCCGCTTCCTCTTCTCTTCTCACCGCTTTGAGTTGTGAGTGGGAGCGGTGATAGGGGTAATTCTGAAACGAGTGGCAGCTCGTGCAGCTCGTTTGCAGCTCCGCAAGTGTCGTTCATGGGGCCGGGAGTGACGCAGGTGTCATTCAGGGGCCAGGCGGAGATGCAGGCCATGCGGCAGCTGTCGGGAAGGCAAACAACAGTGGTGGCCCTCGCACTCATCTCTTCTCCATCGTGTGTTCTCCCTTCTCACCCCCTCACCCTCCCTCCATGCTCCATCCTCCATGCTCTCCCCAGGTGTCGTTCACAGGGCAGGGGAAGACTCAGGCCATGCGGCAGCTGTCAGGAGGGCAGAAGACCGTGGTGGCCCTCGCACTCATCTTTTCTGCATCGTGTGCGCTCCTCTCTCCCTCCCTCCCTCCCCCCCCCCCCCCCCCCCGTCTCCCTCGCACTCTCCCTCCCTGGTCTCTTTGTGTTCTCCCCAGGTCTCATTCACAGGGCAGGGAGAGACGCAGGCGATGCGGCAGCTGTCGGGAGGGCAGAAGACCGTGGTGGCCCTCGCACTCATCTTCGCCATCCAGCAGTGCGACCCCGCTCCATTCTGTGCGTTCCTCTCTCACCCTCTCACCCTCCCACACTTCATCACTCTCTATCACTCGCTCCTTCGCACTCTCCTTCACTTTCCCTCACACTCGCCCTCCCTTACACCCACACTTTCCCTCCATTACATGCAGTCTTCATCATATGCACTCTTCATCATATGCACTCTTCATCATATGCACTCTTCATCATATGCACTCTCCAGCATCGTGACTTTGCCATATGATGCTTGGATTCGTCTGATTGTGCACCTTAACTTGACAAGGCGTTTATACGGTTCAGGGTTAACGAATTGCACAAGTTTTAAAAGGTTGACGAGGAGGTAGTTCAATTTTTGGGCTGTGGCGAGAGATCAATTTCGTGAAATCCGTTTTTTCGCAGCACACAGCCAAACCTCGCCTTTCCCCTGGTGGGAGCTTGAAAGTCCCAAATTGCAGCTGCACTTTTTTCAAGTTTGCAAGCTACGCAGCATCAAGTTTTAAAAACTTGACCGCGCGGCTTGCAATTTGGGACTCGGGCTTTAACTTGACTATGCGTTTATTCGGTCACGCATCTCCTCCCGTATCTTTCCGTGCTCACTAGCACTCGTCCTTTGCTTTCCTTTCCTTCCTTTTCTCTGCTCTCCCTCGCAAATCCTCTCCCTGGCTGCAGATCTGTTTGATGAGATAGACGCAGCTCTGGACCCCCAGTACCGGGCTGCTGTGGGAAGTGAGTGCCAGATGCCACACACTCACACTCTCTCACACTCTCACTCTCTCTCACACTTTTGCACTCCCTCTCGCACTCTTGCGTTTTCTCTTAACTTCTTGCCTTTATCGTTCGTGCTTGCCTGTCCTTCCGTTGAGTTTCTTACAACTGGAGGTTGCTTGCGAGTTGCCTTCACATTTACCACCCCCGCTTAGTCAGGCTGTCTTCGTCTTCGTCAGGCTGGTGTCTTGTCCACTTACAGTTCGTGCACAGGATGCTCATGCTGTTCATGGGATGCTAATTGTCCCCATTGTCCCCGCCTCCCTTCCCCCCCCTTTGCATCTCCTTTCATCTTTATTTTTTTTGGCCCCACCCCTGCTGCCACGCCTCCCCTCCGCCGCCGCGGCGCCCGCTCCGCCCCTCCCCACTCCCCCAACCAGGCATGATCCGCAAGCAAGCAGACGAGTCGGGCACGCAGTTTGTGATCACGACGTTCCGCCCGGAGCTGGTGAAGGTGGCGGACCGCGTGTACGGGGTGTTCCATAAGAACCGTGTGAGCACCGTGAAGGTCATCGACCAGCATGCTGCTCTTGCATTCATTGAACACGACCAAGGCGGGCCGACCGAATGAGGAGGGGGTGTTTTGGAGGGGGGGAGGAGGGGGAAGGGATGGTGGGGGGGGGTGTAATGCGGAAGTGTGGAAGAGGGACGGGGAATGTGGAGGGGGGTTGTTGTGCAGAGGTGGGATGGAGGGACAGAGTGGTATTGGTTTGGTGGAGAGGGGTAGGTGAGGAGTGGGAAGTGGTGGTGTAAATGTTAAGGAGATTGATGGAATGGGTAGAGTGATATGGGGCGCAGGAGATGAGGCGCAAGATGCAGCAATGTGACTGCAGCTTCGTCTAGCTAACACTAACTGTAACAGCTGCGGCTGTGACCAAGAATTCCATGTGTGCTACTGATCTCCCAGAATCTCACTTTGTGAAGCAGTTAGATGCCCTTCTGGAGAGGTTTTATCCTTCTGTATAGCCCACACAGAATTTGATTCTTTTTCTTTTCCTTAACATCTTGTTTCTCTGCTAGTCCTCTCATTAGACCCAAATACGGCACCATTACTATTCCACAATGCGGTAGTATACTTGATTCTTACACTCAAACTGTTCTGTGCATATTGAATTTGTACCTGACCTCGAGGCCAGCCACATCGAGTTTGCCGCAACGAATGTTGTTTTGGCAGCTCTGCGACGCTCGCAGGCTTTCGCACACGACACTCCACAGCCCACGCACTGACCCCTCCTGAAGCGGTGTGTCGCAGGGCTCATTTCCAAATTCAATTCGCAGCGAAGCGATAACTTCGTCCTGAGCTAACTTGGCAGACATGCAGCAGACCCCGCTGCCCGCGTATTTAGCTGTCACACCTTCCTTCACTGCGCGCTAAGGGCTGCCAGGGCTGCCACTTCTCGCGACCATTTAATTCCCCCGCGCGGCCCGTGCGTACGTGGCTCGCGTACACGGCAGCTGTCCACATTCGACGAATTTAAGCAAAATACAGACGTGACGTGACACCGAGTGCGCCCAGCAGATTCGGATTACCAGCAGCGGTCATCCTCTCTCGTCTCAGTCTCAGAGGCTCCGTAGCAGAAAGAAAGCGCGACTATTGAAGTGCCTCAAAAGGCTCAGTAGCAGGAAGAAATTGCTCACAGAAATTATTTGAATTTCTACCTTTTTGTGCCGTTTCTTCTGCTCGCTCCGCAATTCGCGCCGCAACTCGCGCGATGGACGCTGTAGTGTGTCGGCGCGTGGGGTCTCTCAAGCCGTCCGATCCGCCGTCGGAAAAGGTGGGTCCGGAGTTGTAACTCGTAGTGCGCGCGAGGTGCCACCTGTAGTGTGCCGGTGCGAGGGTCCAGTAAGTGGTAAATTCTAGAAGGTAAGTGCAAGAAGGTGAAAAACATAAAAAAGGCAGGAAGGGGAAATAAGACGGCGAGGGAGGGGGGGGGGGGGGGGGGAGGGTGTGGGGGCGGGAGGGTGGGGGGGGGGGGTGGTAATGCTGTGAGGAGAACATGGAACGTGCAGCACAGCATTGGCACATGCTCCTCCTTTCCTCCTTATAGTCGTGCCTGCTGTCCGCATGCCGGTTGCTGCTTGGCAACCTGAAGCCCACTCACGCTATGGATAGACATAGAGATGCTCTGCCCCTTCACGCTCTTAATCTGCCCCTTCACGCTCTGAATCTGCCCCTTCACGCTCTGAATCTGCCCCTTCACGCTCTGAATCTGCCCCTTCACGCTCTGAATCTGTGGCTCCGTCTTTCTGCTTCCTCTCTTGCTCGCTCTCTTTCTCGCTCTCTTTCTCGCTCTGTTTCTCGCTCTCTTGCTCGCTCACTTTCTCTGCACCACCCTCCCCTACCTTCCCCCCTCCTTCCTTCTTCTCCTGTCTTCTCTTTTTCCTGCCATCCTCGCTCCACCTTTCACCCGTTTCCTTCCCCTCCCCTCCCCCAAGACACTATTCTTGAGGCGCCTCAAAATGAAACTCCACCTTTCGCCCCACTCCTTCCCCTCCCCTCCCCTCCCATCCCCTCCCCTCCCCTCCCCTCCCCTCCCCTCCCCCAGGACGCCATCCTCGCATTCGAGCGCAACTTCCCAGTCCCTTCCCTTCACCGCCCCCCGTCCTCCTCGTCCGTCCTCATTCGTGTGGCAGCAGCCAGTCTAAACTTCGCGGACGCCCTGCAAATTATGGGGCAGTACCAGGAACGACCCCCGGTGCCGTTTGTCCCAGGCGCAGAGGTGGCGGGGGTGGTGGAGGAGGTGGGGGAAGGCGTGGGAGGGTTTAAGAGAGGGGACAGGGTTTGCGCCGTGGTGGAAGGAGGGGGGTTTGCGGATTTGGCAGTGGCAGATGAAGGCTCGTGGTGAGTGATTGGGGAAACGGGGACGGGGGAAATGGGGATACGGGGGAAATGGGGAGGTGGGGAGAGGGAAGAGAGAAAGGAAGTGTGGTGATTGAGAGACTAGTAGTTTGAGGGAGGGAGGGAGCGTGTGAGGCGCTGTGCAGTGTGGCAGTGGCTGGATGGTGGAAGCTAGTTTGAAAAACCGTTAGTACTTGATGTTGAGTGGCTTCCTTCCTCTCCCACTTTCCACCTACCTAACTCCCTCCCTCCCTCCCTCCCTCCCTCCCTCCCTCCCTCCCTCGCTCCCTCCCTCGCTCCCTCCCTCGCTCCCTCCCTCCCTCCCTCCCTCCCTCCCTCCCTCCCTCCCTCCCTCCCTCCCTCCCTCCCTCCCTCCCTCCCTCCCTCCCTACCTCCCTCCCTCCCTCCCTCCCTCCCTCCCTCCCTCCCTCCCCCCTTCCCCCCCTCCCTCCCTCCCTCCCCCCCTCCCCCCCTCCCCCCATGCCTTCCCACGCCCTCCTTCCCTGCCTTTTTTGCCTCTCCTCCAACCTTTTTGTCTCTTTCTCCTTGCTTTCCCCTTCTCCTTCCCGCCCAGTTTCCACACATATCCTTACCGCAGTGCCCTTCCCAGCAGCAACAGCGCTCCCAGCCTTTCCCATCTGGCGCTCACGCAGCGGGCACGCGTGGGGAGGGGACACGTGGTGCTAGTGCTGGGAGCGGGGGGCGGAACTAGGTGTAATGAGGTTATTTTTGAGACGTCTCAAAGATAACCTCATTACACGTGGTGCTAGTGCTGGGAGCGGGGGGCGGAACTAGGTGTAATGAGGTTATTTTTGAGACGCCTCAAAGATAACCTCATTACACGTGGTGCTAGTGCTGGGAGCGGGGGGCGGAACTAGGTGTAATGAGGTTATTTTTGAGACGTCTTAAAGATAACCTCATTACACGTGGTGCTAGTGCTGGGAGCGGGGGGCGGAACTAGGTGTAACGAGGTTATTTTTGAGACGTCTTAAAGATAACCTCATTACACGTGGTGCTAGTGCTGGGAGCGGGGGGCGGAACTAGGTGTAATGAGGTTATTTTTGAGACGTCTTAAAGATAACCTCATTACACCTGGTGCTAGTGCTGGGAGCGGGGGGCGGAACTAGGTGTAATGAGGTTATTTTTGAGACGTCTTAAAGATAACCTCATTACACGTGGTGCTAGTGCTGGGAGCGGGGGCCGGAACTAGGTGTAATGAGGTTATTTTTGAGACGTCTTAAAGTTAACCTCATTACATGTGGTGCTAGTGCTGGGAGCGGGGGGCGGAACTAGGTGTAATGAGGTTATTTTTGAGACGTCTTAAAGATAACCTCATTACACGTGGTGCTAGTGCTGGGTGCGGGGGGCGGAACTAGGTGTAATGAGGTTATTTTTGAGACGTCTTAAAGATAACCTCATTACACGTGGTGCTAGTGCTGGGAGCGGGGGGCGGAACTAGGTGTAATGAGGTTATTTTTGAGACGTCTTAAAGATAACCTCATTACACGTGGTGCTAGTGCTGGGAGCGGGGGGCGGAACTAGGTGTAATGAGGTTATTTTTGAGACGTCTTAAAGATAACCTCATTACATGTGGTGCTAGTGCTGGGAGCGGGGGGCGGAACTAGGTGTAATGAGGTTATTTTTGAGACGTCTTAAAGATAACCTCATTGCACGTGGTGCTAGTGCTGGGAGCGGGGGGCGGAACTAGGTGTAATGAGGTTATTTTTGAGACGTCTTAAAGATAACCTCATTACACGTGGTGCTAGTGCTGGGAGCGGGGGGCGGAACTAGGTGTAATGAGGTTATTTTTGAGACGTCTTAAAGATAACCTCATTACATGTGGTGCTAGTGCTGGGAGCGGGGGGCGGAACTAGGTGTAATGAGGTTATTTTTGAGACGTCTTAAAGATAACCTCATTACACCTGGTGCTAGTGCTGGGAGCGGGGGGCGGAACTAGGTGTAATGAGGTTATTTTTGAGACGTCTTAAAGATAACCTCATTAAATGTGGTGCTAGTGCTGGGAGCGGGGGGCGGAACTAGGTGTAATGAGGTTATTTTTGAGACGTCTTAAAGATAACCTCATTACATGTGGTGCTAGTGCTGGGAGCGGGGGGCGGAACTAGGTGTAATGAGGTTATTTTTGAGACGTCTTAAAGATAACCTCATTACATGTGGTGCTAGTGCTGGGAGCGGGGGGCGGAACTAGGTGTAATGAGGTTATTTTTTAGACGTCTTAAAGATAACCTCATTACATGTGGTGCTAGTGCTGGGAGCGGGGGGCGGAACTAGGTGTAATGAGGTTATTTTTGAGACGTCTTAAAGATAACCTCATTACACGTGGTGCTAGTGCTGGGAGCGGGGGGCGGAACTAGAGCCAATCTGCTCTTTTCCCCCAAACCCACAGCACCCCCACCTCACAGTCCCCCCTTCCCCACCTCATGTCCCTCCCGCACCTCGTGTCTTCTCTCTTTTGCCTTCCGCCCCTTCTCCCCCTTTCCTTCCAGTTTCCACATCCCTCCCACAGTGCCATTCCCAGCAGCAGCAGCGCTGCCAGTGGCGTTCGGCACGGCCCATCTGGCGCTCACGCAGCGAGCGCACGTGGGGAGGGAGCACGTGGTGCTGGTGCTGGGAGCGGGGGGCGGCGTGGGCGTGGCAGCAGTGCAGATATGCAAGCTTCTAGGGGCCACTGTCATTGCTGTTGCCAGGTGAGGGTGCTGGTGAGGCTGGTGAGGCTGGTGAGGCTGGTGAGGCTGGTGAGGCTGGTGAGGATGGTGAGGATGGTGAGGATGGTGAGGATGGTGAGGATGGTGAGGATGGTGAGGATGGTGAGGCTGGTGGTGGGGCCAGTGGTTGGTTGGCCTGGCTGCATCATTCCTGGGTGTGGGATACACGCCTTGACCTTGTTTGTACTGTTGCATATATATATACACGTGCTCTTGCTTGTCTAGCCTTATATATATATATGTAATCCTGCATGTGAACTGGCCTTGTGGCCTTGAACTTGTGCTCGGAATGTGTGGTGACTTTGTGATCCACCCTGAGCTTGCTTTGCTTTGCTTGACTGGTCTTGTGACCCCTTGTTCTCCCCCACTTTGCCTATGGGGGTGTGTCAGATTTATATGACAGAGCTACTGTAGGCTATAGTGGGGTAGCACATATAGGGTACAGTTTTCTAGGGTTTGCATTTGTACCCAACTTTCCCTTAGTCATTCTCATTCCTGTTTTCTTAATTCACACTAGGTAGGCAGGGTTTGGCGACATATAATGTGCATTGTAGCAAAAACTGGCGGTTGGTGTCGGGAGAAGATGTTGGAGTAAGAGGGAATTACCTTAAGCATTCCCGAAGGTGGAGCAGCATCGCACGTGCTACTATCAAAGCAATAGCCTGTACCATCATCGCGTTAGTCCATATAGGGCACGTAGGTCAACAGTCGCAAGTCAACTGTCGCGAATATTGACTGGCCTGGACCGAACGGTTGCGAAGAATTGCAACAGGCGTAACTGTTTCTACAGTTCCAAGCAGTCACCTGGTAACTGAAGGATCGCAATAGTCATTAGGACTGTAGCGATGTCTGTATTACCAAAGAATAAGGGAATGTACCCCTCAGAGTGCATGGCTAGTTATGATCCATATATTGTGTGTAATGTTTTTAATTTAATCAATCTTATCATTTACATTCACTGTGCAACAAGGTTCCCACTACATAAAGACTTCCGTTACCAACTCTAGGCAGACTTATACTATCCAAGGTCTTGATTGGCAGAAGGAAGGTCAAGGCCCAGTGCGCAGTGCTCTACGCTGGTTGCGACATAAGGAAAATTGTCAAGAGTGTAAGTTAGGATACATATGTTTCTTGTAAGGAATTTTCTCGACATTCCTTACCGCGACCTCTTACATCGCGTACAGCAGCAGCCGTCGTTCGTCCGTTACTGCTAACGGGGCTTCACCAACTTCGCGCGCACTGTTTCACCAAACCCTGCACCGCTGACCCGGCCATGTCGGCCTACTTTTCGGGACTAGCTCGAGCCTCGATGCCAGCCTAGCACTAGCTAGCTCGCACGCACCGCATTACCGTTTGCATGTTTCGCGTATAAATGTTCGCTCATGCCTTCGCTCACATTTTGTACTCGTTTGACAACTTAGTGCAATCCTCGCTACCTCGATTCATTGCACCCGTAGCACTTGGTTATCACAACCACTTTCTTTTCAGACCGCGCATCTCCGCACCCCAGGAAATCAACTTTTGATTTTTTACTCGAATGGACGCACGCACCTTAGCCCTTAGGAGCCGCTGTCCTCGCGTTCTCTCGTAAACGCGTGCAGCCACGACTGCATCTAGACTAAGCCGACCCGACAACCTTCGTAATGGCCAAAAAAATCGACGTCACGACGCTCACGCAGGACCGCCTGAACGAACTACTACGCCAGCTGCACGAGAATTCAGAAGAAATTGCGGCGCTGACGGCGGAACGTACGTCCCTGCAAAACGACGTCGCACAAGCACAACAAGCACTATCACAAGCACCTGGCACTCCGGTACAGCCTACACCACAAGCATCGCAGCACGGAAGTGTGGGGCAACCCGCGAGCGTGGCCAGTGATGGCGTGGTCCGCCAGGACGGAGACAACGACCACAGCACGACACACCCCGAAGCAACGAATGCGGCCAGGAACCAGCCTCGCGTCACGATTTCGGCACCGATCAATGAGTCGGCACTGCCATCCCCGATGCCGCTGAAGCCGCAGCGCCCGCCATGTTTTGACCCGAGTCAACGGGGTGGTCCTACCGTTCAGGCGTGGTTGTTTACGAAGAACGTATTTTTCGACGCCAACTCCGTCTCGGAGGATACGGCGAAGATCCGCTATGCAGTGTCGCTGCTGCGAGGACCCGCCAAATCGGTGGCGTGTTATCGTCACGAAGCCAAACGACTACGCGACTCTACCGGCACGGGAAGGACAAACCAGACCCTGGGCGCCGTCGTATTTCATGGAGGTGCCCCAATATCGCACGTGGGACGCGTGGTGCACAGGTCTGCGTGCTCGATTTGAGCCAATCGCGGCTTCTATCGCGGCGCATCAGAAGCTCCGCACTTGGCGCCAACTCGGTTCCGTCCAAGATTACACTAGCGGGTTTTTGGCGCTCTGCGAGCAAGTGGGATATATGCATGAGGGCGAGCGTATCGACCGCTACATCGGCGGCCTGAAGCATGACATCGCCTAGGAAATTCAGCTTCGCGGCGCCATTGACTTTCATGAGATTCTCGCCATGGCGGAGAAACTCGATTTCTTCCGCCGACCGAGACCGGGGTCCTACGGAAGCAGCAACAACTGGGGACATCAATCTCGTGGGACGAACGAGGGCGCCACGATACGTGCCGTCACCGCGAATGCCTCTTCCGCACCGTTTAAAAGGCGCTGCTTCGCGTGCAATCGGCCAGGGCACCGCAAGAGCAAACGCCCGGAAAACGCTAAGAGAAAGGGGGAAGCCGAGCAGCAGAAACAGACCAAGCAGCAGAGAAACGCTGGGAGTCAGTAGCAGACGGGCCCTCAACTGACAGGTCACGCCGCTCGCCTGACCCGACCAACCCTCACCGAGTGATTGTGCCGGTTCACGCAATCGACCACACCCGGCCGAATAAGGAGGGTACTACGGTAGACAGCCCCATAGTGCTTAGTGGGAAAATTGGGACAGACTTATTTGAAATCTTCGTAGACGGGGGAGCCAGCCACAGCCTAATCAACACCGCCATAGCATGGAAACTGAGACTGCCACTGGACAGATGTTTACCTGAGATCGACGCAAGACTGGTTGACGGCACGACACTGACGGTACGGGAACGCGTAGAACAGGTTCGGATTCGATGCGGGGGTAACTTCACGTTTAGCCAGGAAATGCTCGCGACAACCCCTGATGGAACCGACATTTTACTCGGCCGTGATTGGCTGCGACGACACGATCCGCGAATCGACTGGACGACGGGTGATTGCACTGTGTGAGTGAACGGTAACAACATCGCCTTACCTCAATGGGCTCGCCTGAGTCTTCGTCGGTGCGTGTCAACGCGATCACGATGACACGCACCGTAGCGGCAGGAGCTGACGTGTACGCAGTCGACATTCGGGAAGCCGAGGCAGCAGACAAAGGGGGGGATTTACAGAAACTGCTCGCCGACATACTGGATAACTTGGCAACATTACTGAAGCAGTATAGTGGGATTTGTCAGAAGTAGCAGTACAAAGTTTAGAAACAGAAAGAAGTGGTTTCACTAGCAGCAGTTGGGATACATATAGCAAACCCTAACTGGGTTGTACCTGCTATAGAGCACCCCACTACAGGCTAGATAATAACATTCTGACATAGCCAAAGTGAGCAAGCATAGCAGGAGTTCACAATAATAAGCAAAGCTAGAGGTAATCACAGCGGGCAAGTGAGGAGGAGGAGGAACTGTGGAAGGAGAGAAGATGGGAGGCAACGACTAAAGCTGCAGAGGCACGGGCATAGGAGCGGCTGACTCAGTTGCTACCAAAGCAAGGGCGACGGACTACTGGAGTGACTGGCTCCGCGGCTAAGACGAGCGGCAGGAGCAACGGACCCATTGGCGACTGGTGCAACAGGCTCACTGGCTACCGAAGCAAGGGCGACGGACTACAGGCGCTGCAGGCGACACGACAACTATCTCCACACAACCTCCTCCAACTGACCCACACCCTTGACACACACCCCCTGCTGAACCCCTAACTCCACTCCCACGTCACCCCCCTAGCGCCATTCCCCTCGGCTCCCACACCTCCACCCCCCTCAGCAGCAGCTGCAGCAGTGGGAGACGAACAAGGAGGTGGGGAGAGGGAAGGGGAGTACCCACACCGCGCACCCCCATGCTCGCCACCCCACACCCCCCACCACAGCGGAACGCACGGCGGCACGGGAGGAATGGGCAGCACGGGGGGGGGGGGGGGGGGGGGGGGGGGGGGGGGGTGGACGGTACAGGAGGGGCCGCGCGTCTCTCCTCAGGGCGCCAAAACGGACAGGCGGGGGGGCGCGCGTGGCTCCCCAGGGCGCCGCGACGGACGAGCGAGGGGCGCGCGCGGCTCCCCAGGGCGCCGCGACAAGAAGGGCGGGGGCCGCGCGTGCTCCCCAGGGCACCGCGACGAGCAGGGCGGGGGCCGCGCGCGGGTCCCCAAGGCCGCGCGACGGGCAGACGGGCCGCGCGCGGCCTGCAGGCCCGTGCACGGCCGGCAGGGCGACGCGACGGGAAGGGCGGGGGGCTGCGCGCGGGTCCTCCACGGTAGGAAACCGCCGCGCGCCTCGGGGCGCACGGCGGGCAGAAAACCGCCGCGCGCCCCGAGCGCACGGCGGACAGAAAACCCTAAACCCTAAACCCGGCAGGAAGAAGGCGTCGCACGCCACGGGGCGTGCAACAGACAGAGTAGCAGCGGAAGCAGTTAGGTGGTGGGCCCACCCACAGGATCGACCCAAGGGGGTCGACCTGCTCTGAAACCATGTCAGAAGTAGCAGTACAAAGTTTAGAAACAGAAAGAAGTGGTTTCACTAGCAGCAGTTGGGATACATATAGCAAACCCTAACTGGGTTGTACCCGCTATAGAGCACCCCACTACAGGCTAGATAATAACATTCTGACAGGATTTTCCCGGACGACTTGCCGACAGGTTTGCCACCTCAGCGACCGCACGGCCACAGGATAGAGTT